ATATTTCCTTTCTCGTTTCTTTTCGAAGGTTAGAGGTTCTAACACGTTCACGAAATAACGAGTTGATTAACGATTCCAGTTTCGAGAATAGTTCATCCGGCGGAGGGGAGGGCAATCAACGAGGATCAATGGCGGTCGATATTTTAGACGAGGACCACTTTGCGGTGAGCGCGATCGTCACCGTCGGCATGCAAATCATTTTCTTCACAATCGCGGCGACCTTCCAGCTGGACAAACTGACGGATTTCGCCGGCGGCACGAACTTCATCATCCTCGCCCTTCTAACGTTCTTTCTCGGCCAAGTGGGCAAGGTACTCTAATTATAAACCGCACCTGCACCCACGTGTCCCATGAGTGTACACGAATCGCCTAAATCATGCATCCGTTACGAGCACAGCGCAACGAATTTTGCGGATTATAAATAGAACGAATTCCAATATTTCCATTTATATACGTCTGATTTGATGCTGGTTCGGTTTATCGTTCACGGGTTGGAATGAATCATTTGGGATAGAACAGAGAAACAAGGAAATAAGAACACTGGGAATGTGAGATACAGAATAAAATAGAATGAGAGAACTTTGGTAGAGATAGCGTTAACTTGTCTGAATGTACTTTTATTCTCATTCTACAAATACTTTCTCATAGTTTTCTTCCTTGTGCAGACGTACGACAGCAGGCAGCTGATGGTCACCATATTCGTCTGCTTGTGGGGTGTCCGTTTGTCCGGTTATCTGCTGTACCGAATCATTAAGATTGGCCGCGACAAGAGGTTCGAAGACCGTCGCAGTAACGTGATCCGCTTCGCTGTATTCTGGACGTTCCAGGTAACTGAATCGATTCGACTGTACCTTCACTGCCGAATATCATACCTTATCGATTTAAGTGAGACCACTGCCGCATTCAGTGTCAATGTCAATGTTAACGCGATTAAGATTTCAAACGCAAGAAATATTCATTTATCAATTACTGGATAGTAAACATAAACATAGGATGAGTCTAGAATTGTTCTCTTTGTTGAATGAATTATTAATGACAAGATGATTGTATCAGATGGTTTTGTAATTTATCAGCAACTGCAACTAATTTTTATGGCATCTCTAGTAAAAATGAAAAATGCTGTAACACTCCTTCGACCTTTTATTTTTCTTCTCAATACAAAATTTGGATGTGTGGAAAATCTAATAATTTTTGGGTAGTTTCTTTAATTCATTAAAATATTTAATATTAGAAATTGTGCAATATTGGAGCCTACGGAGTTCAAAGGGTTATGTAATTCATATTTAATTTAACTTCATCTGTTGAAGACTGTACATTTCAAAGTATCTTCGTTATCAAAGGTTTAATTGTAATCTTACTGTTGCAGGCTGTATGGGTGTACATTGTGAGTCTACCGGTGATCATTATCAATTCACCGCGGCACAAAATTCCCCCTGCTCCCAAAACCATGACGTCCTTAGACAGCGCGGGCACAGGTTTGTTTGTGACTGGTTTGTTAGTGGAGACTTACGCGGACCTACAAAAATTCTCCTTCAAGCAGGACCCGGTGAACAATGGCAAATGGTGTAACGACGGTACGATTCATGGGAAAGAGAAGAAACGTTTGAATTTCCATTTATAATTGTGTAGTTGAACGATGATCTGGCTGTTGGAGCATTGATTTGATATTAACGTTAAGTATGATGTTTGTTACAGGTCTATGGCGCATGTCCAGGCATCCAAACTACTTTGGAGAGATAGTGGTGTGGTGGGGCATCTTTGTGATATCGTTGAATGTGATCGAGGGCGCGGAATGGGTCGCCATAGCTTCCCCGATTTTCACTACGTTCATTATTCTATTCCTGTCGGGAATGCCCTTGTTAGAGAGGGCTTCCGACGAAAGATATCGCGAGTAAGTGTCCATGGGTTCCATCCGAATAGTTTATTTGTTAACCCTTAGCACTCCAGATGGTTTTGTAATCTACCAGCAACTGCAACTAATTTTTATGGTAGCGAAAATTGAAAATGCTATAACATTTCTTAGATCTTTTATTTTCCTTGTTAGTGCAGAATTTGGACGTGTGAAAAATCTAATAATTGTAGGGTAGTTTCTTTAAGATCCATTAAAATACTTAATATTATAACTGGTGCAATATTGGAGCCTACAGAGTTCAAATGGTTAATATTATTCAAGATAACAAAGTTCTTTCACTTTGACCGGTTGAATTGATTCATGTGTTAGCCCCTTGTCTTGCAATATCCTGTCAGACACGAGGCGAAGATTTCTAATAAACATAAATGTCATTCAGCTGTGTTAAGTTTAAGAGAAACATTGTTTGTTCTTGGTAACAACTTATATGGTTTATACTAATCTTAGATGATCTAATCTAATCATAGAAAGAGAAATGGTTTCTTTGACTATATCATGACAATATCGTCAGACACGTGATGATTTCGAATAGAATTTGATAAACATAAATGTCACTTAATTCTTCCACGTCCAAATTGAATATTATATTTCTAGTATTGATCACAATGATTCCAAGTAAACGTAGACATAGAATAATCATAGAATTTGTCTCTTTCCATTGAATTGTATTGAACAAAATATCTCTATTTGCAATTCGGAAAGAAACCATAAGGCAAGGTGCTAAGAATCCATGGGGAGTATTGATTATTCAACTAGAATAATCTTCGCATGTTTCAGTAACGCCGAGTACCGTTATTACAAGCAGTCGACATCCCCGCTGATACCGATACCGCCATCGATCTACGTGGAGGTGCCACATTTCCTGAAATTCCTTTTCTGTTGCGAATTTCCGCTGTACGATTCATTGGACGTGAAGCCACGAGCGGCCGTGACCGAGTCAACGTCGATAAGCCTCGCGGCGTCCACGTAGCTATAGCCACACGCCGGGCATCCTAACCCCGAGTCCGGCGTGCATTCGAGTGCCATGGCTACAGCCAGCACAGCCTTTTAAACAGGTTGCTTCAGTTCCTTGTGTTTCAAATCTGAGATCGTTCTATCGAATTCTATCCAATTAATTGTCGTTCGCTTCACCCTCTCGGTGTTAAGAATCAAATGTTCGTCATCCTGCGCGAGGATGAAACGTTATACTTGTGTTTGTCAAGGATTTGTGGAACGTTGACGAGGCACTCGTGCGAGATGCATTAGATTGAAGATTGAACAGAATTAATGAATCTGTATCGTGAAAAGTATTTGCTTGATCTTGTAGAGCAAACATGAAGTTTCAGCTCTAATTGAATTCTGATATGTGAAAAATGTCGGTTCATATGGTCGTTCGTTTTGGATATAGATTTTTGTTTGATGTACACTGAACCGTTATTTATTATTAGATCGATGAATTTGAGGATTGTCAGCGATTATTGTTTCGAAGCAATAGAGAGTCGACGAACAAAAGGCGTATAAGAAACTGAGAATAATTGATCAATGGAAATTCGAATTGTAATTACACTACCTCGGGTATGATGTTCTCGGACTGGAAACGAGTTCATCATAATATTTAGACGAATAGTAAATAAAAAATGCCGAAGTAAATGTGCGATATTTTTAGAATCTAAAAAGCTCTATAGTTTGCACTAAGACCTTAAAGAGATAATTCTATATTTTTGTTCGTATTATTAAATGATATTTTTATGTGTAGGATACGAGGTTCAGTTTCAAGGAAAGTAAAGCGATTTAGAGAGTATTCAGCGATTCGTTAGTAATTCATAATTGAAAATATTTTGTGACCAGTAGGGACCATATACTGTAGATACAGTGTACTAGTTGCTACTTTTACACACCTTCAAGTCTGCCTTTCAGTCTGATTTCTCAGAAGCAACTGATCAGCATGTTAAGAGGAGATATATACTAAACTACTTTAAAGGGAAGAAGTATTAGTCTGTCGGTGGGAACTTAATTTTCACTCTTATGTTGCTTACGACACTCGGATCTAAAGTTATTGGAACAAAATTAAGTGTTACTTCTAAATAAGGTAAACGAAGATGTAGAGAAAACTATGTATAGAGTGTAAATTTGCTGTACAGCCAGAGCTGGATATAATATTTTTCAAAGTACATTAAACGGGGGAGTTGTTTAAATGATCTCCTAATATTTAATATTCAAACGTTTCTTAGTTTCCATAGACTGAGCGAGAAACTGCACATTTTATCTGTTTTTATCGAGCCCTCTCTCTTACGTATAAATATCGAAACCAATTAAGCGTTAAATTATAGCAATATACGACATATCCCAGTGCAGAGTAGATCGTCGTAAAACAAAAATTTCAGCACTAATTAATAAACGAAACAACCAAAAAAATAAAAACAAAGTATTATAAGCTGTATTCTTTCGTGTTAAACGCAACAAGAGTTCTTAATTTTTTATGACAAAGATCTCCAAGTATTAAAAAACGGTTATTGAGTTCGAAAGTTTTAGAAAGGGTACAGCTATAGATAAAAAAGTACGCCAAATTAGAAATAAAATGTTATATTACGAACGATCCTCGCGGGTCGTTTCAAATGTTTATTGTTATGTAAATCTCCAGATTTTAGATAATAAATGACAGTTGGTCCAACCATTGTTTTCTTATTCTGCCCCGATTTTTAAAAGTTCAAGCGTCGTGTTCATATTTCAAACGAAACAATAACAGGATTAAAATGAAACAAACGTAACGATCTCTAGTCCGTATTTTCGGGTGAATCAACAACGATCGATAAATTTCGTAAAGATCACATTATATTTATAAACACATTTTATTTGTTCGTATGTATATCGTTAATAAATGGTGATATAATAATAATGACAATGAAATGTATAGCGCCGAGCATAAAACGAGCAGTCATATTATTATTATTATTATTATTATTATTAATTAATATTATTATTATTATTATTATTATTAATATTCTTCTTATAATAATCTTACTGTACTGGATGTGCCTACCTACTGTGCTTGCAACGTTTATGGTCTTGTCCAACTGTTTTCCTTTCTCACGTCACTAATTTAACATTATTTACTTATTACTCCGTAATAATCCATAATAATAATGTAACCACGGGATGTTTAAACGTATGCGTTGTCCTAAGTATAAACAGCTCCACACACTAATTATTTGTTACTTTTTTTCCCCATATTTTTTTTTATCGTTTTCTTCGTTACACCGCGTAATAATCGTAATATCATCGTTAATAATAGCAAGCTACTTAAATATAATATATAATCCTCGTGTCCTCGTGGAATATACCGGGTGGCCGTTTTGTCGGTGTCGCCCGCGGCCATTCGTACAAAAAACTTCAATT